TACACAGCTTCCAGCTTCTCACTCTTCCTCAAAATGACTTTGCCAAAGACTTCTGGGTCCCTTAGCCTCATATTAGCCTATTTTAGTGTGTAGCAATCATGCCCCTACCTGAAATCACAATCTTAATCTCAGAACATCTCATCACCACACTCTAACTACTAACCTTTAACTGTTTGAATGGCACAAGAGGCATTTTCAGTAAGACCATTTTTCTGGACTTGGTAATGTGATATTTTCAGACCCTCTCCTTTATGAGGTCTGGCGCTGGTTTGTGTAAGAGAGAAGAGGCATCATATTGCTATTTCACACACTGACCACAAGAGCAGAATGTGCAATAGGCTAAATTGCTGGACATTTTTGGGTTCCTTTGGTTTTATTGTAAAACTGATTTTGGCTTTTCCCCTTTCTTTTCTCCCCAAATACATTTGGCTCTTTGGAGAAAAGGAAACGCCCTGTCTGCTTCTGTTACAATTATGGACAAAAACATCCAAGGCAAGGTGTTTCCTTGAAGAGAGAGCTGAAACTTGCCAAAAGTTGTTCATTCTTTTATCACTTTGGAACTCTTGGTCCTTTCCGCAGTTAAAAAAAAAAAAAAAAATTATTAGCTTAGGAAACAATGGCCAGTGACAATTCTGTGATCTGTAGTTTCCAGAATCCTAAATATGCTATGACTGTTATGAGAAGAAATTACTTGTTCCATTGTCATAAGAAAACAGCTCAATCCTGTAAAGGAGGGAAATGCTGATTAACCTCTATGAGGGAAAGTACTGAAGTCCATCATCATTGTGCAATAGGCTTCAGAAAAAGGCTGCAGTGAGAGGAGGCAACATACATTTTAGAGTTCTTTTATGTAAGATCCTCACATTATCATGCAATAGTGTTTGCATGGTATGCTCTAATGAACTCCAAGTGACACAGCAGTAGAGTCCCAGTGCAGTCCCATGAGCTACATCTTTGTTCAACCACAAAGTTTTTTCTTCTGCAGACCTTGGCAACCTTCCTCCCTGAGTATAAAAAGGTTAGTAGTCTGATAACTGGTCAGAGCGACAGAAACTCTCCACCATTTTGCAGAGCAGATCATTGCATGATCATCTGCAGCAAGTCAGGAGGGCGTGTTTTCTTCACTCTTTACATACATAAGTACAAATACTCCTGTCCTCGTATGCCTACAATGCACTTTGCTTTTAAATTCATGTTCTTGGCAGGTAGTTAAACTGAACACAAAGTTTGTGTGTGGAAGGCTTCTGAGGTGTAAATGTGGCTTCTGAGGCAAAAGGAAAGTAAATGTGACATTTGGACTGGCTGGCTGGGGATGTGAGTGCCAATCCAAACCTAATCATTTGGAGGGAAATCATAGCTGGTAGGACAACCCTTTCTCCCTGAGATGCCCATAGGAGGCTTTGCGAGAAGAAACGTCTGTATGGCTGTCATGGGACAAGGAAAAGGCTGGGTCCCAAAATGTGAAATCTCCCAAGACCTTGATAATAGCACAGAGATAATTTTACTGTCTGTGTATTCCATATGCATCCTTTGTGAGAAGCTTTCTAGTAACATAAGGGTTACCTAGATGGTAACTTTGTGGAAATCTTCAGTACAGGAAGGCTGTGCTCAATTTCTAAGATTTCTTTTCAGCACAGTGTCAGAGGAAAGCTCTGTATATGTTGTCTTCTTTTTCTACTTCTTTTGCTTATATATATATATATTTTTCCCCTATACCAATTTTTCTAAGAGACACCAAATACTCGTTTCAGAAAAAGGGTGATAATCTGAATGTGCTGCATGATTTCACCATGAGTCTATAACCCCAAAAATGGACGGACAGTCCATTTCACAGTAAAATTTGATCTGACATTATTAATGAACCAGATCTTGTCACTATGGATTAGTTGCTTCTGATTTTAATTTACTGAGAAGGTTTTTTTTTTTTTCTGTATTTATTTTACCCTTCTCTCTAGACTACTGAATTTAGACAAAATAGGACATAGTGAAATTAGTATTTATGTTGCCTTGTTTATTATAGTGACACTTGGCCTAAAATTAAGTCTTTCCTCTCTGAGAGTTAGTAAAAAAACTTATTCTCTGGGCAAAAAGAGGTGACATGCAAAACCAATTAATTTTCACATGAAGTTGTGAGATGTCGATATATGTTCTGTGATACACAATGAAATAAAATTCTAAGATGTTAAAATTACCAACAAAATTATATTATGAGTGAAAATTGTCTTATTTGAAATATTTTGCTTAAATCTGAATTTTGTTGTTTAGCAATATGCTTTTTTGCCAAGAAAAAAATCCCACTCCTTTCCAAAATACTTAGGATATGATTCCTTTCATGTTCTAAATAAGATCATCAGCATGTAAACACTTTTCAATGTTTTCATTTTAAGAACTGCATATGCTTTTACTGAGAGAACACTACTTTTAGAAGAAAAATTTCTGATCAGATTCATGAGAGTATACAGGATGCATCATTCCCACTTTTATATTATATCATTCAGGCTAACCTGCCCAGAGTGCTTTGATGCTAAAGAAATGTCCCTACTAGTTGGAACCTACCCTCTAAAACCATTCCCACTGATGTGATACTGGGGATGTAATACCAGCTCTGCTGGAACTTGTATTTTAAGCAAGTTCAGGAAAATAATTTGCTTTCCTTCCTTACTGTATGGATTATGACCTGACTATATTTCTACTGTATGAATTTTAAATGACACAGTAAAGATAAGCATGACTCTGAATTACAGGATACAGCACAGAAGCACTTGGCAAAGTGTCTTTGAAATATGTATAATTTCCTGTATAATTTCCTGCTTTTTATGCTTGAAAACTGCAGTAGGCATAGTCTCCATATGCTGCTCTGTTCCGTATGCAGGACATGATGTACAATTCCAACTTCTCTTTAGAGGTGTTTTGCTAATAAAGGATAATGAGATACCATAATATAGCAATACAATTTATGAATAGGCATGAAATAAAGGTTTGCAAAAGAACTGAAACAAACAAGTGAGCTCACAACAGCAACAACAAAAATCCTCCCTCTACAACTTTGTTCTCCGTGGTGTGCACTGGAAATTAAATCAAAATCATGGAAAGCACTGATATTGGAACATTGTGAACCAGCTGTTTCTAACAGCTGACTAATTAGTCTGTATATCCAGCAAATCAAAAATTACCACTTAGGCAAAGTAATCCTACAGAAGTTTACATGTCAGTACAGTAAACGTTGAAATAGGTGTCTACGTCCTACTTGAAGCAGAGGTCTCTGCAAAATGTGCTGGAGGGGAAGAGGGCCCAGCCCACACCTTATCATTGCCCTACCCCAGCTTTCCACTGTTGCTTTGGATTGGTAGGAGTAAATCTTCAAAGCTCTAAAGGTCCACTTGCTCCTATCTTTTCTGATTTCTTAGCGATGTGAACTGAGGCTGGAAAACAGGAAGAGAGGAGGGAATGCGTGCTAACTAGAAGTTGCTACAGAAAAGTCTCTTTCTGTGGCCCTGGTAACACACCTAATATTTTCTGTATCAAACAAATCTTTATTGTTTGACACAGGACTCAAGTTAATCCCTGCCTGGAAATCTAAAGTGACAGAAAAGGATTTAATGTTGCAGCTTTATCCGTTGCATGGCTAATTATACCTTATACAGTGCACATTCTTCTTCTTGCACCTATATATTTTTCTTATAATATATCCAAAATTTACCAAATTGCTTATACTGTAATAATTTCATCACGATTTGGGATGGATAAGGGTTGCAGAAAATGAGGCTGAACCTGAAGCAGTGCTACAGTTGAGTTTTACATATCTTTGGTGATACATCATAATGAAGAAGTTGTGTGTGGTTGTGTCAAGAACAAGACACTGGCCTACCCGCTGGACTCTCCTCCTCTGCAGTGCCCTGGTAGGTGAAAAGATTAAAACAGGTCAGTACTCTGACTGAAAATGCTGGAACTCTTTTCTAGCCTTTGGACCTGTATGTCCTTCTGGGGAATTAGAGGTGAGGAAGGGAAGTGGAGTGGTGCTTTCCTTGGTCTAGACATGTGGTTCTCTGTTTTGTCCTTTCCACAGTGGGATCCAAGATATAGTGAGAACGGTCCACTACTAGTTCTTCTTCTGTTGAGGAAGTTTCTGTGCCATTGAAGTGGAGTAATACTGATAGAAAATGTTAACTATAGAAACTGTCATGTAAAAGTAGTTGCTCTTTCATTGAGAAAAATTATTTCATAGAAGATTATCAAATATAACCTATTAAGACAGCAGAACAGTGATCAGGAAACAAATCTCTTTCCCAGATTGTCTTTAGGTTCCCTGCTATATAGTTCCATGTTTGTTAAACTACATGCTATCTTGCTGAGTAATTTCTGCTCTGCCTTTGTTCATAAAACTACTGTAAAAGAGAGAAAAAAAAATCACTGCTTGAATCTTATTTTTAGCCCTTCTGGGAATTCTCAATCTGCAGAGGAATCCTAGTTCTTCTTCTCAACTGGAAGTTATCCATGGTAATTTTGAAAATTATTTTTGTAAATTTGAACATCACAAGAGAATTAAACACCTAAAATACAGTGAGATGAGCTTCGTGCCTTTAAACAGGTGAACAGCGGTCAGAAGTAAAAATAAAATAAATTCAAATGTAAGACAACATTAAAAGAGTGTAGTAGAAAAAATACCTCATGCTGGATTTAAGTGCCATAATTTGCAGTCAAGATAGCACAGCTTTCATCTACACAAAATTCAACCAGACATTAGAACAGTAGAAAACCTTCCAAGAGTTTTACAGCAGTGGTTAAATGGACCCTTTGTAACAAAACAAAATACAATCTGGTACCGTAGGGCCAATGCTGGTGTAAATGTGTCTATATAGGTACAGATAGCTCCATTAAACACTTCAGAGGCAAAGAGCATTTTACTTCTACTGTTGCAACTTGATGGAAATTTTTTTATCAAAATGCCATTGCATGAGAAAATGCTGTTTTGTTTAAAATTCTTTTAATGATTTTAAAACATCTGCTTGAAAGGTCCTAAAAAATGCTTAGTGGGACTGGTCAGACTTGCTGATTGTAAGATGGAGTCTTCAGCCATTGGTGAATTGATCTGATTGAGAGGTCTCTTAATTGAGGACTTCAAAAAAGCAAGTTTCTTTACATCTATGTGTTTTACTTAAAAATAAGTATTTAAGAAACCTTTAGAGTAAATCTGAAGAATTTATATTCTAGATAGATACTATTCCATATTATATCTATCTTTCCTCTTTCCTTTCCCTCATAGATGATAATGGATTATGAGCTATTGTGGGGGAAAGCAGATTTTAACATAATTTTACAATGGAAAATCGGGTGTTCTTATTATTGTGTGCCAGAGATAGAGCTCAAGAAAGTTTTTTTCACCTGATGACACAGTTGTCTCTCTGCAACGGTGGTGGTGGGTTCTCTAGGACACAGCTGGGAAGCAGGGGTGGGATGACCCTTTAGCATCCAATCTCATAAACTGATGGCTCTTAAAATAAGATTCAAACCTTGAATTAGGTCTAGGAGAGCCATGAATGGAGAAAACTAAGTGAAGCAGCATTAATGCACCTGAATAGTGTGTACATCTGCAGAGCACTTGTTCCTTTTCCTGTTCAGTATAATCAGTGACTTATAGAAGTGGAAGAAGACAGGAGACCTCATGAGATCTTTCACTCCAAGTGTCATCTCCTTCCATTCTGGGTGCACAATAAACCAAGTAGAGCAGATTTTGCAGAGTATGTACCAGGGCTCAGGGCAAGCTCCAAGAGTCAGCAAAAGAAAAATGTGTGAGAGATGATTCTTTCCATTTGCTGGTGACTCAGAACAAGGTCTGAAACTGGTGCCTTATGCAGCAACAAAATGTGGCCAGCATCTATTCACCTCTGTGTGATGATATGGTCTCCTGGCTTCCTCCGAATTTCTGTCAACTTAATTAGTCTATAATTTGGGAAATAATAATACAGTCTGGCAAAGACCCCTTGATCACTCGATTGGACTTTGAATAGGCCATCTGGAAGTACTTTGCTCTAAACTTTTCTTTAAAATTACCTACTTGAGAAGCTCCATTGTACCTTGGCACCATCTATTGTAGTGTGGCATGATCCCACATAGTGAGAACATTTTCCCTAGTATTTAACCCAGATTTTCTTTGTCACATGTTATGATGTTTGCTAGTTGTGCTGTCCCCCATAGACACAGAGAACAACTGATCACTGTCTTTTTTTTTTTAATCTTTTGTATAGATTAGAAGAGACCTTTATGTCCACTCGAAGATAAACAAACTCAGTTCTTTCAATCTTTTCCCAGTGGTCATGCTTTCTTAGACTACTATAATTCTTTCTGATTTCTACTAAACTCACTGAAATCTTACACTACATACCTTGCAAAGTGTTTTTTTTTTTTTTTAATAGTGTATTGATATAGCAAAAAGGGTGTTGTCATTGTACAGAGGAGTCCTGTTTTGTTGTGAGTTTTACAGGGTGTTTTGCTGGCCATCAGGGAAAGAATGATTGTGAATATGAGAGATATGTTTGTCAATTTTCATACATGTAGTATGTTTAAAAATTTTGAGAAAAATCAGTATTATCTTTATTTGAAAAACTAAAAGCATTTAGATTTTAGCAATGAATTTAGAATAATCTCATCTCTGAAACTTGTCCTTGTTAAATCATATTCAATGTCACAATTGTTTACATAAGCAAGGATAATTAGTACATCTGTAATCACTTTCACTGGCAGTCTATGAAAGAGCTGAATGCTTCAACTTTAGCCCTTTAATCTAAAGTAAAGAATAAGTCAATGTCATGTAATCTAAACTATAAATATTGAACACAAAATTACCAATTAATGTTAGGTACTATTAGGTCTCTAGGAATAATAATAATAATAATAATAATAATAATAATAATAATAATAATAATAATAAAAATTATAGCATTCTAATTTTAAGCAAAGTTATTAACTAAGAGTTGGGTTTGCAGAATCTTCATTAGAACATCCCTTCATTTTTTCAACGTGTGTTTGCACTGTAAATACTAAACAAATATTGACTAACTCTGAGTTACAGCAGTAAAAATACTTCCTGGAACTACCACAGAGAGCTTGAAAATAAAAGGAATGCATTATCAAGGGAACAATTTCTCCTGATGGCAACTTTTACTTTATTTCCAGTACCTGCCCTTCATGTACTGGAAAATTCTGTTCCATAATTGCTTCTTGAATATTAATATGAAGACTCTTCAAGATACCTTGGCAGTCATTTCTGTCACAGTTATTTTTTTATGAGGAATAGTATCCAACTTGATTTCCAGGATTAGCTCCAATTTGATTCTCTTTCATATGATCCACAGTCTGTTATACCTTGATAATGTTATTTTAAAGGATACCTAAGAGTTTTCTGATATTCGGAAGGCCTGCTCATTGGCAGGTGTTTTTCCTTCTGAAGAAATTAAGTATATATAGTTATTTTGAATGTGGATGAGCTTTTATACACATTTAAGCAAAATCATTGATACTGTAACAATTCACTTTCTTGTAATAGCTATTTAATAGAGAAATTTAAATGTCTTTGCTGCGTGTCTTCAGAATAGCTGATCTTCTCTTATTTATATCAATGACTATGTAAATGTTCCTCAAACCTGCAACATTTCTTCTAGATGTTTCTTGTTATGAAATGTTCTAACCTCAATTCTTTTTTGTTATGTTACAGATATCTATTTAGAAAATTGTCCTAGTTCCTGATGTTGAATATTGTACCTCTATTTTGTGAACCCTCTTCATTTTAAGATTAGAAAAAATAGCTCTCTGAAACAGACAATATGGGCCAAGTCATTCCTTTAGGGTATTATTTTAGACAGCTGCACAGCAAATAAGCAGAGTAAGGCTTATTTACACACAGTCATTGAAGCATTCATTCCACTGATTTATAGGACAGCAAAAGGTCTTTGAGACACAGAACCAGCGATTTTGAGCTGAAGTTGAAAGAGAGGATTTTCTACCCTGCCCACCCCCAACCCCAAAGGTATTAAAAAAATCAATTGTAGGATTTGTTGCCAGAACAGATAGATACAGTACAGTCCTACGTCCTGGATAATATTGATCTCAGATACTGAGTCTCGATTTTTCATAGTGTAATCATAATAAGAATTTGCAAAGGTCTTAGTAATATAGTATTTTGACTTTGTTTCTGTAAAAGGTAAAATGTGCACATTTGTTTTTAACTAAACTGTGAGTGCTGTAACTAATGCTACCAGAGGTTTTTGATAGTGAAAAGGGCTAAGTGTAATGTGCTGATTTGGTGGGACCAAAGTGGGGCATAATTTTCATAACCATTGAACATATTTTCATACCATTGAATGTTTTATTGATATTCAGCATTTCTTAATTTCATCTACCTTTAATTAAAAAAAAAACCAAAACACAACAACAACAACAACAACAAAAAAACACCACCTCTGCATATGTGAGCTAGTTATACAAGCTCTCACATACAGGTATTTCCAGAAAGTTCTAGGTCTTATAGTAAGATGAAACCTCTAGGCTGTGGAGATGCCTATTTGTCTTCAGTGTCTGTAGGGGAAGCTGTGATTTTCAACTAGCACCACAACTTGACATAAATCAAACAAAAGTCTAATAAGTTATCAAATTAAATAGTAGCTTTGTTGAATTCATTTTGCTAAGCATCCACAAATGTTCAGAATGCAGCTGTAAAAAGAATAAAATAGCCAGAAGACTTAGATGGTGATATTAGTATTACTAGTGTCAATTATATTGTTTGAATATCATTATTTCTGAGTTTCAAAAAAATATTATTCTTTGAATTGGAAAAAGTTCAGAAGGATGCCAAATAACTGGCACTTATTTGAATTCTGGAAAATTTCCTTGTATTGACACACTCATAAAAATCGGTCTATTTAGCCTATGCAAAGCAAAGGTTAAGAAGCAGAGTGTTTTACAATTTGTGATCTCTTCTACCAAGCCAGGATGATTAGCAGATCAAGGTCAACAAGCTGGCCAAGAACATACAACTTAAGCAAATGGAGAAGAGGCTGTCAGTATTAACAACTGGTTACAGTTGTAGAGGCATATCTGATTCCTCTTGTTTGGGTTTAGAGTCCTCCTTGCGCTGCTGCTGTGTTGGAAAACGTTAAGAGAGGAAGCTGAGTCCAAGAGAGGAAGTTTTAGAGGAATTTTTTTTTTTTTTTGAGAAACATATCCATTTTTTTAAAAATAAAGATATTAATTGGTATATTAAAGACTACAGAAGTGCCTCTTGCTTGCCTAAAGGCTGCAGGAATCAATGCTAAATCTAGCCTGAAAGTACTGGAGCTTTGATAAGTCTTGAGTTATTAGTATCTGGGCAAGGGATGGCTCAGTTGTTTATGACAGTACCTATTTCTTTCAGCTAAATCTAAAGTCTCTCTCTTCCCACTCCCCTTTCTCTGCACACACCCTCCACCCCCAGTACACATGTACAGTACAAGGTCCTAAAGTTGTACAAAATTAATCTTTACCAAAAAGTTTTGAAAATAAGTGGTCTGAATAACAGACATTCTTTCGAATGAAAATCAGTAGTGTTAATGTTTATTTCTGAAAATGTTTTTTTTTCATTATTGTTGATGAAAAGAAATTCCAAGGATTAAAAATTATTCACATCATTCTTGAGTAACATGAAATTCAATGAAAATTTAATCATTCCAGTTTATAGAGTTTTAACGATTCAAACATAGATGATAAAATTATCTTAATATCCTTGCTCCCTTATTCAGCAAATGTGTCTGCTTGTAAGCCTGTTGGAAGTCACAAGCAGCTTGTGCTGGAATACTAGCAATGCTTTTTGAAATGTAACTAATAAAAAAAAATACAGAAATGCCAGTAAAAATTAATTTGGAATGTCTTCGGAAGGAATAGTCTCTCAATTTCAAAATCATTTGGTTCAGAAGCATAGAATCAGGTACCATTATTGTAAATGGGACATATTCTCTTAATTTATTATTAGTCAAAGATAGAAAAAAAATTATTAAACTCTCTTTTAAAGGTTAAAAACATACAACTGTTTTACTATAGAAAGGGAAAAAAACAAGCCAAAACCCTATTATATTTTATGGGACACAGATTCCCTCAGTTTCCTTCATGCATATTTCCTTATATATTCCAACTTCCTATGTCACCACTGCAAAAATATCAAATAGAAAATATTTTAGGAAATCTAAAAACTGTTTGGATAAGATGTGAAAAGTGAATAGAGTATCCTTAAATAGGCTGATTTTCAATAGTCTCAGATCTGACAGATTAATACTGGTATTTATGGATTATTCTGGATCAGGTTCAAATACATAAATGAAGTTTATAATTAGTCAACTGTGGTACTTTTAAAGTTTTTCACAATAATGTCCTTGAGACTGTAACTCCAAATACCAGAGCTTTTCACAATTTGTTTCAAATCATTGAAACATTCTATGCAATTAAAACCAGGTTTCTTGCACCTTGCAAATAGAGTGATTTGTATTATTTAGCTGTCCTTTTCTCTATTCTAGGCAAAGTCTTTATTTTCCTTCAAAAAACATTCAATTGTACTCCTAAATAATTCTAAGAGGAATTATAGAGCTTTTAGTAGGTAACTGAATACTGTTTTCTTTTCTCTCTACCTCACTGCAGTATCCTGGTGTCGCTTTTGATCCTCTTCTGAGCTAAACCTATGGCTAGTCAAACCTACTGAAAAATGTAGTAGAAGAAAATGGAAACATGAATTACAATATTTTTCAGATCTGTGCTTTCATATATGTGTTTTCACATATGTGCCAGCCTTGATATGGACATCAGTGTATGGTCAGCTATTGCAGTTATGTCTTCAGAGATTTCTAATTCAGTGGTTGCTCACAGAGGATCTGGAGAATCAGTTCCAGTCTAAGTCCAAAGCAGAGAATAAACCCTATCTTCGCTCTTTCCTTTCTTTCACTTTCTCCCTCAAAGCCATCTTCAAGTAACTGTTGCATAATTGCTAGATATTATTCCCACAAAATACATTTAAGAGTAAAAAAACTTGCTTGCAAAATGACATGTAAAAAATTCTCAAGAGGATGTCAAATCGACAAGTATGAACAGCTACAATTTGAAAACAACATGCACACACTAGTGAAGTGCTCACCATGTACTAGGCCATCACTAGTACTTCATCTTGATATCACTGGTGTGAGCTAGTGATGTCTATATCTATTATAAATTTATTCTTTATTCTCAATCAAGCATATGATGGCATTGTTCAAATACATTTGTTTGAAGACATGCTGACTCCATTCATATTTTTTGTTTCAGTTTGGCTCAGAGAGCCTTCTCCTTTAGGTAGAGCCTTGTATAAGCATGAGGAAAGAGACTAAAAGATTCTCCTGCTCCTCTCTGACTCTGGCTCCTTGCCCAGCCCTTCCTGGAGTATGAAGTCTGTGAGACCTTAGGGGAAGTTTAGGAGCATGAGGAGGGTAGTGGCTTCTACAGAAGCCCTGTGTCTTCCTCCCACCATCTCCTGCACCCCTGGCAGGAGGCACACACAGTCCAGGACTGGCTGCAAAATCATCCCAGAACTCATCATTACCAGGATCAAGGCCTGCGTGAGGAAGTTTCAGTATAGAATGTGTAGCAAACTCTAACTGCCAAATAAAATTATAGACATATATGGTGTAACAATATTGGAATAACTTCACAAGGTCCTTTATTTGTTTCTCATATAGAGGAAAAATTTTTGCAAGCATCATATGGTGATGACCCATAAAATTAGTTCATATTTTAAAGGTCATACTTAGGTAAGGAAGCCAGTAAAGTCAACTAATATTTTTTTCAGAAAATATTGGCTTAGAATTCTAGTGCTTTACAGGAATGCAAAGAAAACAAAAGGTATACTTGAAGGATTTTAGTATGAAGATACTAGGTGATAATTTTTTGCATGTATTTAAACACATCAACAAAAAAAATATGTATCTGTGATTATGAAATATCTTACATTTGATCAGTAACTAAGAGAGATATGAAATAGTTTCTTAAGTTAGAAATTTACAGGCAAACAAAAATTGTTTCAAAGCTTGTGATGTTGATCCAAGGATAATTTATGCCAGTTTTCTATAGCTGTGAGGGAAAGAAAGAAACTCAGGAGGAGGAGAGAGAGGATTTTGTGCCAATATTTAAATTGAATGACCCTTGATTCTGGGAAAAATAGCAGCAAAAGTGATATTAGACACTACTAATAAAGAATTAAGGAGAGTAATTTATGCCAGTCAACAGTTTGTACAAAACAGATGTTAGGAAACTAATACAATACCTATTTAATGACATTATGAGCTTGGTAAAGGTAGCAGTCCTGATGGAATACAAATACTTATATACAAATCACTGCAAGGAATTGCACTAGAGTTAGCATGACATCTTGATTGACAAAACAAAACATGAGAAAATTAACAGATTAAGATTAGATATATGAAATAAACTGCTGACTTGTCGCTACTTTAATTGTAAGGAAATAGGTTTCCCTATCTGAGGGCATAACTTTCCAGCAGGACACATGGGGATTCTTGGTCCAAGCAATTAATTCTTTCACATCAACATTAAAGAAAAGATAACGTAACTATGGATTAAATTTGCAGATTAAAAAATTTAAGGCAGAGGTAAAAAGCAAAGAAGGGTTACCCCTAGAAAAATCTGGATTATTTGTTTGCCTAGACATAATTTAGTGCAGTTAAACATGAAAGTATCATTGTCTGTTCTGGCAAGTATTTTGACCCCCCAAAGGACTTTCAAGGCATTTACCTGATACAACAGATGACCAGCTGATAGTAAACCTCTGCTCTGCTTCTTTCATACTTCTATGCCCTTGGCCAACTAAACAGCAAAATATCAAGAAAAGCAGACATATTCAGCATAGTGAATCCAATCCTGGTTTACTGTAATCAAGGCAAATGGAAGAAAGCTGTAATGCACACCTCTGCAGATGTTTTCATATCTTTAGCCACAGAAATACAAATATTTTTAAATGGGCAATGATGTCCACATTTGAATGAATATAAGCTTAATAAGTTTTCAGAGCATGGTACTTTTGAACTTCATTCTGGAATTTTTCTTTCCATGGAGTTTTTTGTTTGTATATAGTTGCATATAATATAAGGTGCTAACTCTGGTGTTGAGTGACAGGACATATAGCAATGGTTCAAAGCTGCATCAGGAAAGCTTCAGTCTTAATATTATGGAACATTGCTTTAGTGAGATGGTGGCCAAACCCTGTAACAGGCTTTCTAGAGAGGTGTTTGGTGCCCCAAACCTGTCAGTTTAAGAGGCATTTGGATAATGCCCTTAGTAACAACATGCATCAGCTTTTGGCCAGCCCTGAATTAGTCAGACAAATGGACTAGATGATCATTGTAGATCCTTTCCAAATCGAGCTCCTCTATTCTATGCTATTCTAATCAATAAGTACTCTTAATGTCTTAGGAAACAATGTCTTTTTGTGTTTTGCTAACATCATATCTATTAAGAGTAAAAAATTTTTGCTTTTTAATTAGAAATCTAAGTAAGAAAGTGCCATGTTATTTATTCCTAAACTAAAATATCAATGCTATTAAAAGCAATAAAAACTTAATACAAAAATAATTGTAAAAAAAATCTAGTTTTGGTATTTATACTATTTTTGTGTTTTTAAAAGTATATAAAAAGGTGAAGTAACTTTTAAGTCATTGTGTCTTGAAGCATCTTATGACACTGTAGAATCATAAAGTCACTCAGACTGGAAGGGACCTCAGGAGGTCCCTGGTCCAATCTCCTGCTCACAGCAGGGCCAGCTATTCGGTCAGAACAGGCTGATCTAGGTGGGGCTTGAAAGCCCTCAAGTTCAGAGACTTTGAAATCTGGACAGCCTTTGCCACTGTCTGACTGTCCTCATGGGAAAAATCTTCTCCATCCAGCCTGAACTGAATTTTGAAGTTACACTGTTCCTTGTCCTGGTGCTGCGTTCTGCTCTGTACTGCCCGGCTCCTTCTCCTCAACACTTTCTTGAAGTTCTGGGTCAAGGAGTTTGGTGTTTGTATTGCAATAAACATTTATTTTTTTTGTATTTTGCACATAATAAATAGACACTTTTCTTGAACACTAGAATGAG